TAATTGAAATTTAATATAATATATATATACACGCATATATATATATATAGATATATATATGACTTTGAATGTTTAATTACATATTTGCCACTTGGATAAATTCACTCGGCTCTATGGAAATTAGCAATTTAATTGCTTGAAAATTTATTTGTCTACAATTGCTAATAAAGAAAGGAGCATGAAGATTTGATTTTTAGGGCGGTGTTTGGAATTTGTACGGAGCTGAGCAAAGCAAAACCATATATATTTATTTAATAATCGCCACCACCAACCACCAATTCTTGAGGCGGAGCTTTTGGCGACCTTGTAATTGACCGGCAAACTATACCACTTGTCTGCAGTTTCAAGATCTCTCAATTATTCCTTCTTGGAACGAAATCCTGTTTCAGTTTACGTGTATTTTTCACCGAACATTTGCCAGAAGAATGGAGGCAGGAGGAGATATTCACCACCTCTTGTATAACGACTTGGCTCGTTTTACGGATAACTTTTCCGAGAGCAACTACCTCTGCCATTTCCAATTCGGCAAACTTTATCGGGGAAAGATTGTCCATGCTGAATCCACTCTTTTTGTGATGGTCAAGATATGGGAGGATTCCCAAATCTACTGTTATAAACCTGGAGATAACGAATCTAGACTAATGGTATGTATGTTACCCCCGACCTTACATTTCAAATATATATATATATATATATATATATATATATATATATATATATAGGATTCCCGACAATTGATATACGTACTTGATTTCACAGGATGAAGTGATTTTACTTCGCAATCCTATGGTGATTAATCATCCAAACTTGGTGAAGTTGTACGGATACTGTTATGAAGTTGGTCATCTTGGTGTTGTTTATGAGTTCGATCCATTTGACTCCGTTTATAACCTCATTCCTAAAGGTAATCAATTTTTTTTTATTTTTTTTTTAATTTCTTTCAAGGTTTTCTCGAATCTCTACAATTATGCCACTATGTGCAATCGACAATGATAAAACGACACCGTAACTGAAGTTTTGAGTTACATATGTAGATGATTTCACTTGGGTGCAAAGAATCAGAGTCTCCCTGCGATTTGCTTCCCTCCTCGCGTTTCTGCACGCCGTGAAGAGTCCACCGTACAAACGTTTGATAGTTCGTAATCTTGATTGTGCTCATATAGTACTCGACAAGGTACGGTGGTGTAATTGTTGTTCCGGTTCTTGAATTGCATGTATCCTATAATAGTAAATGAATGTGACAGTTATTCGTTGAATTTCGGTTTCAGGATTATAATCCAAAATTATGTGATTTCGGTCTCGTAACCGGTGGGATGGTTCCCGATAGGACGATATATAAATGCCATCATGTCATTGGATGCTATGGCTACCTTGATCTTGCGACACACTATCAAGGTATCTTTTTAAATATTACGAGAGTGTAATCAAGATTCGAGATCGCAAAATTTGCGTCCCCACTATATTAATTTTTCGAAGTTTGTCGCAGATAATACTTCGGAGAAGCAAGATGTGTTTGCGTTTGGGACTATACTTCTGAGTTTGATTTCAAAGAGACTTTACACCGAACAAGACCGGCAAAATCTTGCACCGTATGTTTGCCAATGGGCCTACGGGAAGTTTATCGAATATGAAATTGATTCAAGTAATACTGACTCAAAAAAGCCCAAGTTTTCGGTCGTCCACCCGAGTCTAGAAGCCGATCCTTATTTCGATCCTTCCGATGGGCATAAGATCACTGCACTGGCACTTGAATGTGTAGGTGACGAGTTTGCTATGCGCCCAACAATGAAGCAAGTTCTAAGATCTCTGCTCGATCTCAAAGTTGTGAAAAAACATGTCGATTTTGAATCATG